AGTCGGGCACGGGGCGTTAGCCGCGGGGGCTGTGCTTCCGTTTCCTCTCGTAATGTCGGATGCGAGGAGTGGGTTACTTTCTCGTGCTTAAGGCGATGGAGCTTTGAGGGTTATTGTGATTGAGGGAATTGGTGTTGTGGTGGCGGAGCTGGGTGTGTGCTGAGGGGTTTGATATAGTTTGGCTGTTTGTTGGTGGTTGCGGGTGTTGGGATTGATTCTCATCTCAGTACAGTGCTGGAAGAGCTAAAGGTATCGTGATTGGAAGCTTTGTTTTTTTTTTTTTTTGGGAATGAGGTATTCTGTATGGTATTTAAGATGCATGCTGGCTGTATAGATGAGGAGAAATGCAGGGAATTGCCAGATGCAGTTTACTTAGTCTCTAAGCTCTTCACTATTGTGTAGTGCACGACTGGGATAAGCTAGGCGATTTATCTAATGCAATACCTCATCTGATATCTACTACCCATCAGCTACGATTGGTCTAAAAGTGTTTAGGCACCCTCCTTCGGATGATTCGTTTCTCATATCTACCTAGGACTAGTTAAAACCTGACACTACCATCATAATCGCCGAGAGAATGACTTCTACTATACAAATGCAGAAGAGCGGTCAAGCAGGCGGTCTCTAGATGTGGCGTTTCTGAACCAAATAAGAGAGGGTGCAAGTTCATTTTTTTCACTGCCCAAGGCCCTAGGGCCGGGTCGAACCCTCTTTGCTGGATCTCTTTCCTAGTCCCTCGTGCCTGTGGAGTATGGAATTACACTAACAACAGGCAAGACAAGACTGAACTGAAGATTGCAGCAACCCCTCCTCATCTTATAGATTTTTTGCAAATACATGCTAAACTACTCATTATCCCCTCTAATTCTATCTACTCAAAAATAACTCTTCACATGAATCTGCAGTAGTACAAGGAAAATTTGCGTCCTGAAGCGTTAAGAAAAGTGGGGCTATATTTTAGTTTCGAGTACAACTGTACAACAACAGCCGCGGTGGTGTAGTGGTATTAACATTGCAGAGCCCCCGTACTAGCCTTATGCTAGCGGTGTGGAGTGCAGATTCTGGGTTCGAGTCCCAGTCGCGGCATCTTTTTCTTGTCTCTCTGCGAGGAGGGAAGGCGTCATGAAGATATCATCGGTGCGGAGAATGTGTTGGAGGGTGGGTGTTGGGGAGGGTACGTCATACAACTAGAAGTGTGGATGAAAAGGCTGTTGTATTGAAAAGAGTCTAGTATAACAGATAGGGGACCCGCTTATGGACACCAACGGATGCAGGCACGCTAATTATGGCATTCAGATGTATAGCGAAGATGTGTAAACGACATGCTATGCAGCAAGTAATCTAGCGTTGGGTCAGCGAGGGGAATGAGGGAAGAAGCTCGAGACGTACAGCTCATAGAAAATCGACTGGAAGGCTGCCAGCCCAGAACGGTATAGTGACACGATCGCCCCGGTAGCTATCACTACAAGCAAAGGCCGCAAAACCAGCAGGACGGCATACTTAACGATCGACACGGTAGTTCGCCTGTTAGGTCAGAAACTGCAAGTCAATTTGCTTCATGATCGCCATCTTACACAATAGAGGTTGTCATGTTTGTCGATCTTAACGATGACTAGTTGCCAAGGAATATTATTGCATGGTACTGAGGGCAGGGTCTAAGCTGCCTTTTAGGCTATTAGATTATCCAGCTTCGATTTCTGGGAGGAGTAACTGTCTTTATATCCCCATGCTAGAAGTGGGCTTTCCCAAAGCCACGGTGCTATTTAAAGGAATGCACTCTATTTGGCTGACGCACAGGTGGCAAGAGGATTGATACACGTACTCTGACGTCGAGAATTGTGCTGCCTGGATTTATACAGTCTGGCTGATATCTTTGCCGCTTTTCCCGACTCCCTGGCCAGGTAAGGTGGAACCAGGAGTTAGCCAACCGGGACCCTTTTCTGCAAGCATGAGGCCACATCTAATGAATTTGACTGGGCTTCCAAGGCGAAAGTTGAGTTTGCCGGCTCCACCTTGACCCCAAAGTCTCCACACCCTTTCAGCCCTACAAGGCTGGCTGCCCAGGGGGTACCTCCCTCAAATTCCCTACTGACTTTTCCTCAAAACAGTTTCATCCTCTTTTCTCAATCTCAAGTCATACTGCTGTTCTGTCAGTACAACACCACGTATGGGATCGTCTGCGGCCATCCGAATCACATCCAGTCCTACAAATCGGACGCCTACAAGTCAATGGGTTGAATATCCACATTTGCGGACCTTCCTGCCATCCGACAAAATCTAATGTTCGACTCTCCCTAGCCACCTGGTGCCAGTTTATAAACGCACACAATGCATCCGGAAGACACTCCTCGCTTCACCCACTTTTCCTGTCAATCCCAAGAGGTCACGGTAGCCTCCACCTTTGAAGGTCTCCTGGCCGACCGGTCCGAGCAACTCCCAGAATTAAATGACCTCAAAGCCGACGCATGGTGGTTGGACATCTGCGACGCCTCCGAAGAGGATGTCAAGGCGGTTGGGCAAGCTCTTTCGATTCATCCCTTGACGGCCGAAGATATCGTCACGCGCGAGCCACGTGAGAAGATCGAAACCTTCCGGAATTATTATCTGATTTCGTTCCAGACCCTGCTGTCAGCCACGGAGGGCGACAGCTTGGAGCGGATAAAGTCTTTGACTAGTCAGCCACACACCATCCCTGACTCGGCCGGATTCTATATTCTCGTCTTCAGGAACGCCGTCGTCACGTTCTCGCCCAAGGGATGCAACCATGTTTCGCGGGTGCTAGATCGAATCCACCGGATGCAGGATCCATCAATCATGTCGAGCGAATGGATTTGCTATGCCTTGATGTGGGTTTCTCTACCTGTCCCGACGAGTAAGTTGGTAAGACTGACTACGTAACAGCGACGACATCGTCGACAGCTTCGCGCCCTACATGCGAGCCGCGGAGCGCGACTGTGACGCCATCGAAGATCAAGTGTTCATGGCCCGGGCCGACGACATCAAAGCCATCATCCCGCTGGTCGACCGCCTCCACAAGAGCATCACCCAGCTCACCAACTGCCTGAGTGGGAAGAACGACGTCCTCAACGGGTTCGTCAAGCGCTGTCAGGCGAAGAGTCAGAACGCCGTCTTCTCGAAAGCGGAGATGATCGTGTACCTGGGCGACGTGCAGGACCATCTGGTCACCACGCTGACGAGTCTGTCCCACTTCGACGAGATTGTTGGTCGGTCGCAGGCGAACTTCCTGGCGCAGATGAGCGTCAACAACATCCGGCTGAGCTTGAACATCAACGAGATTCTGAGCAAGGTGACGGTCCTCGCGAGTATCTTTGTGCCGTTGCATATGATCACGGGGCTGTGGGGGATGAATGTGCCCGTTCCGGGGCAGAATGCCGATGGGCTGGGGTGGTTCTTTGGGATTGTGGGGTGTTTTGTTGCATTTATTGTTGTGTGTTGCTTGATTGCCCAGCGAATGAAGTTATTGTAGCTATACCTCATTCACATTGTATATGCTAATTTTTGGTTGTGCATAGATACAACATATGCTCTCTGAATTGGTGCGCAGTAGGCACAGTACTTGGTTGCATTTGTTGACCGTAGCTAGTGCATTCCAGGGCAAGGTCTAGATCTAACATACCACCTTTCCGGATGGCATCACAAACTGCCAGAGCGCGCCAAGACGGAACCATGACCCTTGTCCGACAGTTATTAATTGGAAGGGAAGCCCCAAGCTATCGTAGTAGAGACTCCGGGGTCTGCTCGTATTCCGCGACGACACCCCTGCGAGCCTTTCCGCCCGGGACAAAATGACGATTTCTGGCTCTTTTTGCTCTGCGATGATCAAAATATGTGGTAATTTCAGGACAACAGGTTTTTGGTCATGGTGGCGGTGGTGCTTACACTAATCGACCGAGGCCTCTTTTGGGTGTGCTTATCTAGGCTTTGCCTGAAGAAGCCAAGCATTTCTTTCGCTGCAGCTTCGTCAAAATTACAAGGATCAAGCACCAATGGCAACCGCCCATTGATAGTCGACCATCTCGTTAATCCTTGAGTTGCATCACACCAGTTGTCCTAGTGCCCTACTCCGTAGTGCTCTTTTTTCCTGAATCCTGGCCTGAATTACCATTAACCTTACATGATTATAATGTGTAATTCTGGCAGCCCTTCTCAACCATTCTGAAATGGTCCCCTGTGTCTCCAGAAAGATACCATTTGGGTTCTGTTCCCAACAAAAAATCTAAGCGATCTCCATTATCACATGCCAAAAAGTCGAACACGGGGAGTCTTGAATCCCCACTCTTTCTAGCATCTAAGGGTGGAAGTTTTCGGAGCCTCGACCAGTGGGTGACCTCTCTGTGTACAAAAAGTTCCACGTGGCGCTCGGACTAATCCTGTCGGCCAATGAAACAGTTTGAAGAAGAATATGAATAGTATGGAATGTGGTTAGTGCAACGCTTACCCAGACACTAGACTCGGTTGAGGAAAGCGGTCCAGTTGGCGGGAACTTGGAACTGCAGCACTGCACCTGGAAAAGGGCCCGCCCACTCACTGTTCACTCACTGACTGCTGTTCTTGCTCTGTGTCTTATCTACCATCGAATGACCGGGCGGACTGGAGGGGCAGGGGCTTTATCAGACCCCACCAATGGCTTGTCTGCTTAACGACTCCGAGTAGGTAGTTCAACTTCTTGTTAATCTATTGAGTTCTAATCGGCCAACGCCGGCATCTTGTGAGACCTTTCCCAAAGTATCTTAGGTTGAATTGCAGTCTTGAAGAATGATGAAAACTTTCTTAAGTAGCCACGCCCCTCAAATCGTTAGATGCAAATTATTATTACGCAGAAAGATTTTTTCCACTTCCGGTCTTTCCGTCAGCATCAGTCTTCCTTGTTAGAATTCCGGTGCTCTGCACAATCTTGTCAGCTAATTATGGAGGGCATCAGACCCAGTGACCAGGCAGTAGACCCTGGCTCAGCCTTTCAACCGGACAAGACCCAGACGATGGACCATGCGGATGCTCAGCTTGCGGCGGAATTTGGGTACAAACCCGTCTTGAAGAGGGAGTTCGGATTATTTTCTACCTTCTCCTTCGCCGTCAGCATCTCGGGATTGTTCGCGACTGTGATGACAACCATGATCTATCCTTTGGAAGCCGGAGGTAGTAGTGCTGTCGTTTGGTGTTGGTTGATTTCTGGATTCGGTTGCATGTGCCTTGCAGTGAGTAGAGTGCCGTCGATTGAACACGATGTTGGTGGTGTCGCATCGCTGATAGGGTTATCATGGATGCTAGTGCTCCGTTGCCGAATTAGCCTCAGCATACCCGACGTCGGGTGGCTTGTGAGTCCGACCTCAACCTCCTTCGTCCCCACAAAACACTCCGACAAGACAAGAAACCACAGTTCTAAACGTCGAGTTCTAGGTATTTCACAATCTCGAGATTGGTCCCGCAGGATTGGGTCCCCTCGATAAGTTGGTATGTGTCGTCCGCTTGCTCCTCGGGCTATGCCGGGTACTGAGACATCTTGTCCTAGGCTTACGGGATGGCTGAACCTTCTGGGACAAATCTGTGGTGTAGCATCTTCAGAATACGGTGGAGCACAGATGCTGCTCGCAGCTGTCTCGATGGCTAGAGATTTTGACTATGAAATCACCACCGGTACCACTGTCGGGGTCATGGCCGCGCTGACTATCACCACCGGCCTCATCAATTCCCTTTCGACATACTGGATGGAGAAGATCACTAAATTCTATGTCATCTTTCACATCCTGGTTCTTGTCTCTTGCTCTATCGCTTTGTTGGCTATGACCGAAAACAAGCACGACGCTTCCTACGTCTTCGGTCATATCGAGTCGAGCACTGGATGGCAACCCATTGGCTTCAGCTTTCTATTTGGCTTCCTTTCCTCGAGTTGGTGCCTCACCGATTACGATGCTGCATCGCATCTATCAGAGGAGATTCGGAATCCAGAGGTCATGGTTCCATGGGCTATCTCTTCGGCGATGCTATTTACGTACCTTGCCGGCTTTGTATTCAACATCGTCCTTTGCTTCTGCATGGGCGACGTGAGTGGAATCCTGAGCTCGCCAACACAGCAGCCCGTTGCGCAGATCTTCTATAATAGTCTTGGAAAGACGGGTGGGATTATTTTTACCGTCTCAGCGTTGCTAATCATCAAGTTCGTGACATGGACCGCCATGCAAGCTCTCGGTCGGACTGTCTTCGCCTGCGCGCGCGATAGGATGTTGCCCTTCTCCTCTGTCTGGACCCAGGTCAATTCCAAGACAGGAACTCCATTGAATGCTGTGTGGATATCTACCTTTTTTTGCATCGCGATCAATCTCATTGCGCTGGGCTCCTACACTGCGATTTCTGCCGTGTTTACCCTGTGCTCCATTGCTCTCGACTGGAGTTACTGTATTCCGATTCTTTGCAAACTCTTTTTTGGCAAGTTCAAGCGCGGACCCTGGCACATGGGCAAACTCAGCCCGTTCGTCAATGCCTGGGCTTGTCTTTGGACTCTCTTCGTTTCGATCATCTTCGTCCTTCCCACTGCAAGGCCGGTGACAGCCGAGAATGTAAGTCATGCTTGCTCTCTTCTTAGGTGGTATATCGACATGGCTGACAGTTTTCGTTTCAAGATGAACTACGCCTGCGTCTTCCTGGTCTTCGTCTTGCTGTTTGCCCTGGTCTACTGGTACATCAGTGGCAAAAAGTTCTACCACGGCCCCATCACCGAAGGAGCAGTTGTAGACGATTACTTGGCCGAAAGCAACACCAGCCAGAAGCCCGACAAGACTGGAACCCGAGTCTGAAGGGTGGACTCTAATCATTCTTTGCAGTCGACGATACCCGAGGTAGGATCACGTCACGTGCGGAGGTCATCAACCCTAACGCGACAATTGCCCGACAACTTCACATACAACTATCCGCCGCACAACCGGTCCCACTAAGCAGCAAACCCATATTTACCATTTCACCCTGAGCCCAACAGCGACATGTTAGTGCCTAACGATGACATTCGGTACGCGAAGTCTCACTCTGCGATCCGACAAGACCTCACGAGCCCCTACAGCAACCCAGTTCCCAACGCGCCACTCCACTGACCGAAAGGAAGCCCAAAGCGACTTTACCTGAAGCCTCACCGTATCGATACCCGGCCCCGGCGACTTTTGAGTATGGACTGATGATATGAGCCCTCGCAGCATATACCGCCAGTTCAATTGGTCCTGTTGTAATATGGTTTTCTTCTTGGGAAAGAGCCTTGCCATTGGGTCATTTCTGTACAGAGTTTCCTTGATTCGTATGACCATGTTTCGGTCAAATCTTGTATCCACAAAAAGCTTTTGCCTACTTCTACGTCTATTGTTTTTAATATTGTTGCTATTTTATATCATTTCTTATACACTCCAAGGACCATTGAGTCTAATCTATCTAGTTATCATCCAGAGGTGAACAAGGAAATCCTGCAGAAAGCTTCAACGCACGCGAGGCATACCCTAGAAACGCAAAGGGTTCCGTTCAAACACGGCAATTACGGCACTTGCATGCACCATCATTTTCGGGGGCCAGGGACACAACCCCTGGCACCGGCTCAAAGCAGAGGAATTGAATAGCAACAGATCAGGACTGTATCGGTAGGGATGGGTCGGGTAGCAACTACATTTTCTACTGCTCTCTCTCTCACACATTCTTCGCTGTTATTCCCACCATTTTCATGACCAACCCAAACGCTAAAAACGATAAAGTTCCTAGCATAGAGGTAGCCGGTAAAGTAAGTGACTGCGGCGATCAATATACATCCATGAGGACCCCACCAGTGGCCCTTACATACCCAGGCGAGGGCTTCTGGTCCCTTGGGTTGATCAAATGGCCTTGATATATTCATATGTTCTACATATACCTTGTTCCTTGGTGTTTTCGGCCAAAATGTCGAAATTCATACGCCTCTGTCTGGTTCTCTATTATTTTATCCAGATAGCAGAAACCCTAAAATCCCCAGCCACCTGTCTCGGTTGATTCCCTCTAATCCCAGATGTCAGGATTTGGATAAAATAATAAAGAACCAGACAGAGGCGTATGAGGGCCATTGGCGGGGTCCTCCTGGATGTATATAGATCGCCGCAGTCACTTACTTTACCGGCTAGCGACCCGGGAACAGCATCGTAGAGGACTGCTTTCGGATATAAGGCTTAAATCAATCATTCAGTCAGTCAATTTGAGATTCCTCACTAGAGACGATAATGATGGTCAGTGTCGAGAGGAGCGAAACGGCCAAGCTTGTGCTGGTTACATGGGAATGAGGGGAAGGTACAGAAGGTCACACCCGCTAAGACTAGTGAAATAGAATCAACCCGCGCTTTAATTTCTAGTCGGTTTCAACTACTCAACCGGGTGCGGGGCAGCGATAAACATCCCTGATAGCTGACGTATTACACCAATTACAGGCCTTGAACGGTTATTCGAAGAGATACACTTCAATATAATCGTTGCAACCTTGCAGATAATGGCCAGACTCTGGCAGGTGCCTGGCAGGTGACATCGCCGGGATGCAACAAGCCGGTTCCCCTGGTATTTAAGCATCGGTGGCGCAAGCCTATCGCTCCCTCAAATATCACAAGCAACCACCATGCTTTTGACGGGTTTTTGCAGCAGCATTTGCTTGATTTTGGCTCTCAGTTTCACAGGTGAGTGCTTCCTCTTCTGTCAAAAGCTGGTCAAGCGCTCACGAAGCAGGACTCGGCCGGTTACTGACAGTGCCCACTATTCCTGGATTCATCGAGGGCAACGGCACATTTCCCATCCATCATCTCAAAAGCATCGTGGTGGACTCACGCTACTCAGACCATGTGGACAACAATGGCCAGACATTGATTCCTCCGACGCTCCAGGCGTTCGCGTCTACTTTCCAAGACGATCTTCGGTCGTCGTTGGGTCTGGATGTGCCGCTCACTTTCAATAGGAGCAGAGGGCACAACACGATCTTTCTGACTCTCGCAAACCATACCGGCTTTCAGGATGTTGCTGGGCGGTGGACCTCGGAGGGATATGCGTTGGAAGTCGATAGCCATGGAATCACTATTGCTGGAGCGAGTCCTCTCGGGGTCTGGTGGGGATCGCGTTCAGTGATCCAAGCAGCTGTTCTGGGTGGCCATGGCCATGCTCTCCCGCATGGCTCTGCGGTCGATGCGCCTGGTTGGGCCAGTCGAGGAGTTATGGTGAGTGATCTTTCACGACAGTACCTTGTAATCGTTTAAAGCTGACCCTCCAGCTTGACGTCGGTCGCCATTACTACCCACCTCACTTCCTGGTAGAGATTTGCTCGTATCTGTCCTTCTTCAAGCAGAACGTGTTTCACTTACATCTTAGCGACAACCTCTACAATAACGTTGACCTATATTCAACGCAAGCTAGCTTGGATCTGTATGCATCCTTTCGCCCGTGGTCCAATGATCCAGCTCTCGCAGGCCTCAACAGGCGCGCCAATGAGTCATATACGCAAGCCCAGTTTGATCAGATTCAGCAGCAGTGTGCTCGTCGGGGTGTCACCATCATACCTGAGATTGAGGCTCCGGGCCACGCTCTAGCAATCGTTCAATGGCGACCGGAGCTGGGTCTCAAGGATCTCAGCATGCTTAATATCAGTCACCCGGATACAATTCCTACCATGAAAACCATCTGGAAAGCACTCCTTCCCTGGTTTCACAGCAAGACCGTCCACCTCGGGGCGGACGAATACAACTCTTCCTTGGTAGATGATTACACCGGCTTTGTGAATCAACTGAATGATTATATCCAGGCGGAGTCTGGGAAAGCTGTTCGGATCTGGGGCACCTTCACACCTTCGCAAGGCGCCAATGTTAGCAAGGATGTTTCGATCCAGCACTGGGAATTCTTTGAGGACAATCCTTATTTTGACTACATCCAGAATGGATACAATGTTCTCAACTCCGACGACGCATTCTACATTGTCGGGAAGTGGTCTGGGAGTTATCCTCAGTATCTCAACAAGACCAGAGTGTTCCATGGAAACCCCGCTGGAGGCGCATACGCACCTAACATCTTCGATACAAAGAACGCCACGAACAACCCACCCCGTGATAGCCCGGGTGTGCTAGGGCACATCGCCGCCCTCTGGAACGACTATGGTCCCAATGCTACCACTGTCTCGGAAGCATATTATTCATGGCGAGATGTCCTTCCTGCCCTGGGCGACAAACAGTGGGGTGGCGATCTTCTCGAAGCTGAATATAACAGCATATTTGACAAACTCCACGCAGCTGTTCCTGGGCAGAATCTGGATCGTCGAATTTCGAGCAAAGGAAAGCGGATTCTCGAGTACCGATTTACTCAGAACGACAGTACCAGCGTCGAGGACTTCTCAGGGAACAACTACCACGGCACTGTCCACGACTGCCAGATCCGCCACTCAGCCATCACCTTCTCCGATAATTGTTACCTGCAAACGCCGCTCACCAGTAAAGGCAGAGACTACACGCTCTCCTTCTCCGTCAAGCCCACTTCTCAAGTGCCGGGAACGCTTTTCTCTGGCTTTGACTCCACGCTTCTCAACGGTAACGGGTCGATCAGCAACCTCACCCTTGTCAGCGGTGGTAACGCGTACTCGCTGAACTATAGTCTCCCGGTCGATGTCTGGACGGATGTGAGTTTGGTCGGTAAGGGGAATCGAACGTTTCTTCGGGTATCGGAGGCGAATGATCAGGAGGCTAGTATGGAGTTTCTGACGAGGTTGGGTGTGGATGGGGATAGTCTGGTATGGGCGCCTATTGCGATCGAGGCGCCTTTGGCTCGGGTCGGGGAGGGATTCACAGGGTTGATGAGAAATATCTCGCTATGGGGGTTTGCGAGGTAATCACCTTCTTGGTATATTGGAAGGTTTAAGTTTTGTGAGACTTTCAGTTGAAAGTTTGGGGGATGGATGAAGTTGAACAGGTTGAGAGACATGAGGATAGATAGATGACTGTTGTCAAAGACGTCCGCTTCATTCAATTGATGAGTGAAAGAGGGATCATGTGTGCTTCCCAGGGTCCTCAGAAGGGTCTTGGAAAAATCAATGCCAGGCTCACACAGTTTGAGAAGGATAGAGTCATTTTGGCATGTTCATCGTAGCTGAAAGCCCCAAGTATATAGCTTCTTTCTGACCATTTATGCCACTTTTCACCACAAAGAAGCAAGAAGCAGCCTTGTGTGCAATCATCGAATAGCCTCAAGCACAGGGCGGGCTCTTTCCAAATCATCTGCGGCTTGCATTTTGCGCATTGTACTGTAGTATCATACAGACTCAATCTATACAATTCAGTATCGCTTCTATCTTTGTTTTATTGCAAGCATATCGCTTCACTCATTGATTTCGAAATGAAACCTTTGTGAAGGATTCATCAGCTTGAGGAGTTCGTACAGACCCTGACCCATGAGGTGCCCACGTGACTCTACGCTCTCTCTTTCCCCGTCCTTGACTCAGCACGTAGTAATGCAGAGAGAATCTGCGACCAGCAGCACGAGGGAACAGGTTTGCCTGTCAAGTGGTGCTTCGATAATGCTCTCGTGCTGGGTATACGTGGCATTAAAACGATGTACTAAGACTACGAGTCATTTGTATCCTCATTGTCACTTTTCGACACATCCTCTCAGGAATCTGAGTGGCTCTCTACATTAGGATAAATCAGAGGCGGTAGACCTGTCTCTACATAAGATATCTTTTGCGTCCCTTTCTGGGGTTCTCCCATTGATGCATGACTTTAAGGGCCTTTTTCAGGCTTCCCTCTCGGTTGGTTGAAGGAGGATCAATGGGGCTTAAGCGTGGAATGAAGTCTATCAAGCAGTAGAACAATATTGATCATCTCTTCCCAAGAGATCAGATGATTTTCATACCAGTTGGAACGAAAATGACTGGTTGCATGGGCATGTGGTTACTTTCTGCGGTGTATATGGTGTGTGTGGAGTCTGGCGAGCAAGGTGCGGTAACCTAAGGGGCCGATTGACTCTCGCTGCTTGGCTGCCTTGCTTTTTGTCTCGGGAGGTGATGAAGGGCTTACGGGTGAGAGAACTGTGATTTCTCAGGCCTTATTTTACTGAGTACTTGGTGATTAGGTTGATGAAGTCAAAAGGATTTCGGTAGACGCCGCCGGAGAAGGGTGGGAACTGGTTGTGGGAGGTATTGGGCGATGGTATCACGATTTAGCCTTTAAAGTGCGTAAAGTTGTACACAAAGAAGAAGAAAGAAGAATCAGTTTCAGGGCACATGGTTAAGTAGAATGGCTATATCCTCCTCGCCGGGGATGACCGATAGGGGTGGGGGCAGAAGGAGGGAGGAAAGACATTCGGAGTGTGCTATGCTCAAGTGACTATAGCCTATGGGCCAGATACCTCCAGTCGGCTCACTTGAATGAGTCAGTTCGGCTTTGGTTCTGGTGCTGCTTGCAAACGACTGGGTATATCCTGAAGTCTAGCGTCGGAGACATACCTGCTGGTAGTTCTCAGGAGACACATGAGCTGGGATATGGAACCTCTGCAACTAGACCCAAATAGTGAGTATTTGTGTCTATCACTTTGGGATGTGAAAACTCTGATTTCTCGTGCGTAAGCTAAGCCACTGCAGGTGGTTGGAGAGCAGGGAAACGTGAGGGTGAAAACTCGGAGGGTTTAGTGAGGGTTCGAGGACCTTGAGGCCGGAGAGCCACCAAGGTGCTCATGCTCTCAAGGTGCTCACCCACAAGCTACCATTTTTATAAGAATCATGGGTCTCGAGCACACTCAGTGACCTTTTGGAAAGGTTCTCTCTGCTTTGTTTATTTTCTTGTCTCTATCGGTCTCATTGGGTGAGTGGGATGGAAATGAAGGGAGTAGATGATAATGATCATCCGCACCCCCTCTCCTCCCTTCCGCTCCCGTCCGCACTGGATACGAATCCACCCCGTGCGATGGCAAGGTTACTGACCTCTTAGCGTGGCTTTAGGCCCTCAGACTTCTTGGACTGGGTGGAGAAGGAAGAAATCAGCCCATGAGGGTCGGGTGGTTGGTCAAAGTCAAGCCTGGCGATGCTATTCGACTCGCTGCATGGAAAAGCTACTCGCGAGACGCACCTGTCATCACAATTCCCATGCTGGTTCGCTGCATTTCTTACTGCCCCCACGCCGCTGAGCCGACGCGATGAGTGGTATCATGATTCTTGACCGGCAACTGACCGCGAAAGCCGCCGGTATTCGGGCACAGGGGACCTCAGAGAAAGTATAAATAGGGCGTGTGTGTTGTTGGACTCTTGTGGCTCTTTTCCATCATCAAGCATATCAGACTCTATCAAAGAATCCAAACCACTTTCAAACTTATCTCTTGGAAGCGCTTTTAAGCCTCCCTCTCCTCAATCAACATGTCTCCCTGCTCCTGCAACTGCTGCTCCGGCAACTGCTCTAGCTGCTCCTGCAGCTCTTGCAGCGTTGGTCTCCCCTTTCCGTATTCTTTCGGGTTGAATGCTTAACGAGGATATTTAGCACTAAATTCGATTACGTCGCTCTACTCCGGCAAGCATTGCATTTAATGCACTAGTCACCCGAGCCGATATGTCAAGTTCACCGGTTCCGAGAATCACGCACATTAAATCGTCGACTGGTGCGAAGGCGATGTATGGACAACCACGCGGAAGGAGAGATTGTCGATGTATGATCGTAACGGAAAGAAATGTCGTATGATAGCTTTTGAAATGAAAATTGCTATATTTCAGAACTGCCAAATCGGAAATCAATCCAGATCCACTGTGAATTGTTTGTAGATATTGAGCTAGTCGTGGTCTGCTAGAGTATGTAAGCCTTAGAGTCATACATTCCGAATGCATGCAACGGGACCCTGCAGACCACGTTGTGTCGAGCCACATGCTATTGACATGCCATGTCAGTTGTGTATGCAACGACCTATGGGTATACGTTCTCTTGGCATTGGTAGACGAGGGTATAGGCACCTAGCAGTGAACAAGACCCTCCCTTGGCATCACCTCGCTAACTTTCGGCAATGACATGAGTAAGGTATCCACAATAGTCGATTGATCAGGATCATGGCAAACAAGCTAGCGCCGTATCCTATGCAGGCTACTGAATTGGTGTCGGCCCTGGCCAAAGTTTATGCTCGACTGGACACAAAAGGCCCCTGGCCCGAGAACAAGTGGGTAGCGGTCGGAGAGTTTAGATTGACAGTGCGACACTGAGCACATGGCTCTCGGGAGAACTTTGGACTTTCCACTTGCCAAGGCATTCTTGTTCCTTGCTTGTTTATTCGACTCGGTAACTCTTAGTTAATTTGCCGATGCGATTCTGAGAGCCGTATCCCTGGTGGGGAGAAAGGGCCATAATCACTTGCCCTCTGCGAGTGGAATTGAGAAGACTGCACCCCTCCAAGGTAGTAATAACGAGACGAACGATGCAATAGTAATAGTTCCTGTCAGGGTCCCAGTGAAGCGCTAATTGGGGACCTGTTTGGAAAGCATCGGGCCAGCCGGAGGTCCCCGAGCGCATGACGCAGTAAGAGCATTGGGTGCGATTAGAGAGGACCAGGTGGGCACCGATGGGGCCTTTCGTATCAATCGGTGGGTGTAGCTAGGTAGGCGAGATTATTATCCCACGCTCCTTGTTGGCCTGTGCCTGTTTGCTCACAAGGTACTACACGCAAGAGTAGTGGGTGGGGCTTTTGAGTCAGTTGGATGGCAAGAAGAAAGGTGACGGCGGAGATTGTCCGGTGGTTGTTGTGGTTGTTGTCAGCTCGCTGTGGTTTTGTTCCTCAGGCTAACAATGCTGGCCTGCCGATATTCTCCCTCAACCGCATCCTTCCTCGTTCATACTTCTTTCACAATTGAAGAGGGGCATCACCATCTAATAAATCCTGAAGTTTGATGAAAAGCCGAAATATAACCAGTGCGAGTCATGAAATCCTTGTCATTTCTGTCAAAATCTGGATCGCGTGAGACCACAATGCAATCCATTCTTTTAGTGTGGGCAACCATTCCACAAGGTCCCCATGGAGTGCCCACCATCCTCAGCGATATCTCCATATAAAGAGCGACTCGGACTCGGCTCAGAAAGACAGTCAGAGCAGAAAATCTCTTCCTAAACAAGCTTTCTCTGTCTAGATTTTCGCATAGATTTCCGTGGCATATTCAAAATGTCGTTTAACCCGAACGATGTCGATCTCGATACTGTCGACCCAGTCGATGTGATCTGTTACTTGAATGCCGCTGAAAACGAGTACAACGGACACCTGGGGGCGCGTATCTCCGCCATCTTCGTCATTTTCATCGTCTCGACCGCAGTCACCTTCTTTCCCGTGATTGCCAAGCGCGTTCCTCGCCTGCACATCCCCCTATATGTCTACCTCTTCGCTCGGTACTTCGGTGCAGGAGTCATCATCGCAACGGCCTTTATCCACCTGCTCGACCCTGCTTACGGTGAGATCGGCCCGCAGACCTGCGTCGGCATGACCGGTCACTGGGCGGATTACTCATGGTGCCCCGCCATCGTTCTCACTTCGCTCATGTGCATTTTCCTCCTCGACTTCGGCGCCGAGCGCTACGTCGAGGTCAAGTACGGCATCTGCAGAGAGGATCCCGAGCCCATCATGACCAGCGCCGCCGACAATAGCTCCGTCACGAAGGATGCCGCCACCAGCCGGCGCAAGAATGAGACCGACACCGAGTCGCTGACCTCCAGCGAGGCCTGGATCGAGAGATCCTTCAAGCAACAGATCGCCGCCTTCCTGATCCTTGAGTTCGGCGTCATCTTCCACTCAGTTATTATCGGTCTGAATCTGGGTGTCGTCGGTGATGAGTTCTCCACTCTGTACCCGGTCCTCGTCTTCCATCAGTCCTTCGAGGGTCTCGGTATCGGCGCCCGCATGTCTGCCATCCCCTTCCGCAAGGGCAGCTGGCTCCCCTGGGTGCTCTGTGCCCTGTATGGCTTGACTACGCCTATCTCTGTGGCGATCGGTCTCGGACTCAGGACCACCTACAACTCGGGTTCCTTCACGGCCAACGTGGTCTCCGGTGTGCTCGATGCCATCTCCGCCGGTATCCTGATCTACACCGGCCTGGTGGAGTTGATGGCCCGGGACTTCCTGTTCGACCCTCACCGAACCCAGGACAACAAGCGCCTGACTTTCATGGTCCTCTGCATGTTGTTCGGTGCTGGTATCATGGCTTTGATCGGCAAATGGGCCTGATTGTGTGTTCGATTTAATACTTGGGTTCTTGATTATTTGGTAAAAGCGTGAATGGGATTTTCGGTCTGGAAAAAAAACTAGTGCATGGGAAAAAGGCCTCGGTTGTTCGGTTTCCGGGCTTACGGTCTTGCAATTTGTCCGTATTTAAAGCATACATTCATACCCCCTCCTCCTTCTCTTTCGTTTTCATGTGGTCATATTTTGGGCTCGATTAGACTGTCATCTACTTTCCTGTTTGCAGATAGTTTGTTCGTTGGTGTAACTATCCATCCCTAATACTCTACACCACTCTACAATGTTAATATCACTTTCCCTCACAAGTACTTCATCTATTCCTCGAATACACGCCTCCAGTCATTTGACCCTTATTATTAGTCATCATGATGAACATCTGGCACACTGCACCATCTATGAACAGTATCTCTGTTGGACATCCCAACCTATTGAATGCAGAAACTCGACCTTGAAATTACAGCTTGTCGTTTTGCTGGGGCGGCTTGGGTGAGAAGACAGGGGATATTCAAAGCAGGAATCCTAGATGGCACTGCCGGAACTGAGCCGGCTTGCAATCGTTATGATTGATCGATTGATTATTGCCTTATCCCCGAATACAGTCCTCCCTGTAGGCTCTTCCCAGGTCGCGAACGGCCAACCGGGGTGACTGCGGTATTCTATCTACATGAATCTCTTTCCAATTGCCCACATGAAACCTTCGGTCCCTGGGAGATGACTGGTTGGCGTTGGTTTCTTGGTGTTTTCGCCAAGTCCTTGGAAATCCTCCAGATCCTGACGCTTCTGTACCCTGCACCTGAGTAGTTCGTTTGCATTTTGGCCGGTTGTTCTGTGTTTGGCCGGTCGACCTGCTTTTCTTGGTGTTTGGTGTGAACCCCTGGATCTCCACCGAACTGATTTGGTCACTTCGAGGTATTTCCCTTCCCCTGCTTTCCTTCGCCTTCGCCGCAAGCAGTCACTTGCCGATTAGCTCCATCTACCTTGCAATTGATATGACTCCGTGTTCCGGTAAAAGGCTTGACCAACCGACCAGTCTTCCGAATCCATATTATGATAGAGGCGAAGCACTCAAGACCGCTCACGCAATCTGCATCGCATCCCCATTCAGTCGCTCGAAACGCAGACCCTTACTGATCAACCCGCCCGACCTAAGCCACGCATTCAGCTCGCTCGGATGGACAAAATGAAAGATCAGCATCACGGTAAACATCAGCAGCGCGTCAAACACGTAGAGGTACACCTCATGGCTGAGCAGATAGCCCCCGAAGCCCTCGATATATTCCACCAACCGGTAGACTGATCGCACCAGGATTAGGACGCTGGCTGCGTAGAGCGTCCAGACCAGCTTCTTCCAGTTGATTCCCGAGCTCAGCGAGTATGTGGTCGGTTGCTTCGTCATCCGCAGGTGAAAGAAGCCAGTCGTGACGATGAAGAACCCGAAGAACACGATCTGCACCACGAGGCCCACGACGATGATGTTCGACCCCGTCTTAAAGCTGGATTGCGTTTTCCCGGCCATCATACCAGCGCCTGTACGCAAGAAGGGGAAGAGTCGGTCGTTAGCACGGGCGAGAATCATCGGGGGATCATCAAATGTGACGTGAGGGTAGAGCTCTTACCTCCGGACTGGAGCAAGAACGACAGCACGTCGCCCAGCACAAAGATCTTGGTCATCCATTTGGGTCGGATCAGGCTGTATTGCTCTGCATGAAGGACCACAACCAGCCGGCCAAGTTCCATGTAAATCGATGCGGCGAATAGCGCTGGCGCAACCAGCGGCATGAGAGAATTGACTAGGAACGGACCCATCGTCCAATCGGGCGATTGCTCCGCTGAGACGGCGCGCGCGCAGTACCCGATGAACTCAACTGCGAACGCGGTCAGATGTCATTTTCGTGCATAGAGGGCGCGTGTGTGAGAGAGAAGCGGCGACTTACAGTATCCTCCCACGAGGAAGGGGATGAAGAACCATGTTTTGGTGCGGATTAATTGATACGTGTGCCAGATCGAGGTAAGAAGGAAGCAGATGATGAAAATGACTGCTGCAGCGAGGGAGGGGTTGTAGTAGTAGTAACGAAATGCTGAGCGAGCTGCGAGCTCTACCATCTTGCTTGCTTCGTGCAAGGATCCTTCCCTGCTTGTTGTCTGCAGCGATGATGAGCACTTGAGATTCAAGCCGAGACATGCAGACGATGAACAGCCTTTTTATTGCATTGGCTAGTCTCCATACTGGAGGCGCCGACTCTCCACATCTCAAAAAGAAAGCTGTGAGCCAAGATAGAAACTCACTGGAAATGATGGAGGCGTTGCGAAAGGGGGCATATTAGTGGATACAAAGGCATTAAAGGTGGTACGTACTGTTCCCTCTCCATTATTACCGAACCAGAATAGAACAACAAGCGAGATGGCTCGACCAATTGATGACTGCTCTATTGTGGGTGCACTCGAGATCTATACCAAAAGAAGTATAGTTTACGGCGGCTTCCTTCTTGCCTCAGATCTCAGGCCATCATCGATTTTCGATTTCTCCGCAATCTTCTTCCTCACATTCTTCCGATTCCACATTGGAAATGCCACTACGGCGCTCACACCCTAAATCGCATCATGGGTGTCTCGGCTGTAAGAAGCGCCGAATCAAATGTGACGAATTGCGTCCTATTTGCAGCCCCTGTCGCAAGAGAAACATCTATTGTTCCTTCTATGGCGATGGCACTCCTCAAATTCTCTCACAGCCTCCTTCGACTCGCGCTGTCCCCTCGATTGACAGCAGCACACAACTTCCTATGCTCGACTTCGAACTTCTGAACCACTGGCATGTAGCAATATGGAAGACTCTGGTCTCCGAGGAATCGAACCGGGAGGTGCTGCGGACATTTGTGCCGCAAGAGGCCTTACGCCACCCCTTCTTGATGCACATCCTCTTGGCATTGTCGGCGCTGCACCTTACCCGCTACGGCCCCATCGAACGGCGCCAGGTGTATATCGAAGCGGCGATGACCCACAATAACACCGCTCTCTCGTTATATTCTCCCCTCCTCAGCCAGGTGACGCCTGATAACTGTCACGCTCTTTTTGCATTCGCCTGCTTAGTCATTATGTTCGCTTGCGCGGCTCACGGGCCCAACGCCCAGCCCAAAGCCCAGTCCGTGTCGGACGTCATCGAAGTCCTCAAGCTTATCCGCGGGGCGGCGTTCATGGTGGAGCAGGCTCGCCCATGGATTGCAAGCGGAGGCATGCGCGGTCTGTTGACGGTGGAGAAGATGCAGGAGAAAACATCCATCGAACATCATGCCACAGCTCTCCACCGTCTTCTGCATGAAGTGTATGAAGAACAACAGCGGCAACAGCAGCAGCATGACTTCGACTCGAACCATCAGCGACCAACAGCCCCTGCTGTTGTGCATGCCACTGAGAGTCTCTTGAGCGTACTCCAGATGTGCGCTGACAAGGAGAATGCATCCGTTCTACTGCGTTGGGCGGCCGTGGTGCAGTCGGAGTTCCTAGATGCTCTGATGCAGGATGAGCCCATGGCCCTTGTTCTGCTCGGCTATTATGGTGCCGCCATTGGCCGCATCATCGATACTTGGTGGATGGACGGTTGGGGTCAGTATCTGGTCAATCTTGCTTCCGATCGTCTGACAACAGGTGACTGCTCCCTGTACTTATGGGCCCAGAACGCGGTCAACCGCATTGAGGGCATTGAGCATTACTTCGACTCAGAGTAAGTACCACCAATGGTTTCAATTCATTTATAACCCTTCATAGTAACAATAGTAATAGTAATAGTAACAAAGCTACTTAGCAAAGCTACGGGCGTGCTCAGGGTTGATGTGTAACTTGAGCCAAATATTCAGTGGCACGAGGGTGGAGAACAAGAGGTTTCTTGCAAAAGAGCCCATGCACTTAAGATCGCAACAAGCAGAATCCCCGGTGAATTCTCTGAGGCTCTGGAGGCCGACATGCCCCGTTCCCGGCCATATTTCCAGCCCTGCAATTGTACAGAGACAGAGCACCTTGATCGCTAACTCGTCTGGTACAGCTAGCTTGCAGATAGGAGGCTATCAAACCGGCCAGCCCTCCTCGACAGCGCATTGGGGGGTCAAGGGGACCCGGGTTACTGCTACTCCCACCGGTGGGATCTTGTAGAACTTTCCGAAACAAGGCACAATTGCCTTAAGTACTGAGGTAGGGGATATGATAACCGGACTGGGGTCTAAGTTGAAAAGCCTGTCGAGGCAGGCAATGCTGTGCGCGGCAAGAAAAAGTCTTTCCCACTTAGTGGCGCAGTCTCGCTGGGAAGTCCTGTTGCGACAGATAGCATTTCCTGCCCTGCATACTTGAAGATCCTCCACTGGTGGAACCTCAGAGCATAGGGCATGCTTGCCAAATGAGCATTGTGACCATTATACAACTAATCTATTTGAATTCACTGGCCTGCCAGTTGTAGAGATATTCACAACATATACAACGAAGTGAGGTAGTTATCTTGTTCACTAGCTTGCTGATTGTAGGGTCATTCATCGTATAGATTGCAAAAGTAGGTGATTGTCTTATTCATTGGCTCGCTTGTTGAAGTTATTCACAAGAAAGATAACGAATAGAGGTAGGCGTCTTATTAAATTCGACTTATGTAGAACCTCCATGTCTTCTTCCTCCAGTTATTCGTCTTCTTCCTCTCCGGAAAACAATCCCTACTACAAGCTGGCTTGTATGAAGCTGTAAGATAAATTCAGAAAGTTGTCTCGTTCGTGAGTATAATCCTCTTCCATGGGCAGAATCACGTCTAATTGAAAAGACACAGACGAAGAACAAGAGAGCAGTCCGTGCCTGCTTGCAGGCCTGAAGATTCAGTGCACGAGAAAGAACTCGACCCTAGCGTGGCGAAGAGTAGCCCGAAGAGGAGGGCTCCAGCACAGAAGGTTGCAGGTGTACGCCGCACCCAAAAGAGCCGTTCCGAAGCTGTTTCTACCGCGGCTAAGATGGTCATCGAATCGAAACGAAGATGCCAAGTACGATTCGTATGTCTGTGACTCGCTGCTGGATGACTCGGACCGTGAGGATGAGGACATTAACGATGACGAAATAGGTCGATGAGTTGCGAAAAAAAAAAAAAAAANAAAAAAAAAAGGCAACTCTTCCTTGCTTCTCCGGACCTTCTGTCCACGATGGAATAGGTCGCGATAACGATGTCATTATGGCATAGCAATCAAAGTTTAGAGAGCGATAGGAAGGTGTTCTACGCGTTTTTGGTCGGGTTTTCTCAAGGCTTAGACATGGACTTACTTCAAAGTCCCCAATACAAAGGGCAATGTGGAACGTTCTTGAGAAACATCAAGAGGAGGAGACTGCGGCCCCGGACCATGAAACGGAAGAAGTAGTCGAGCAGAGAGGCCTACCAAGAGGGGCACGGACAGGTTGCAAAGCCTTGTGAACGAACTCGAAGTCACTGTTCATCCGGAAAGCAAGAACTGTTTGCGGAGCGCCAAAGCTCCTTCGTGATGCGATACTGGCATTGCCAGTTGTGACCAAGGCTCACACGCGCAAAGGGGATGTACCTTGATTATATCCACAACAAGCAAGAGCCTTGTGATAGTGGAGCATGTACGGGATTCTTTTGTTCCGAACATCATGGTGGTGTTTTCGGCAACGTGCTAGTGAGGGTGGACATCGTGAACCGGGTGCTCACCATTGTTTCTTTGGGAAGAACAGGGAGCCGCACTTCATCCCCATCGGGCTTTTCGCAAAGGCCTGTGATCCCAGCTGTCGGATCCGGGATCCCAATGTGGTTGTTACTCTGTCAGAGTCGATCATGATGCTCATGCTTCCGACTTACAGATTCCCAGAAGCTAGCGGATGGAATCCGATTTCTATCTTGGAGTTGCTTGATGAAGTCAAAGGCTTTGTTCCACCGCATGAGGCTCCATTCAAGCATTTGGATTAAGGCATTGCCACTACATCAGGGCGTCAGAAAGGGCATGAAAGCCACACATTGCTATAATTGCAGGCGTTGCACGAATAACAAGGACGTGGCATGGAGCAAAGCTTTCCGGTAATGCCTCTGCCAGAATTGCAGACAAACGTCATTACAATGGCTAACAGGCAATCCAGACCTATCAAAATGCCTCTGTTCGTCGAGGTAAGTTGATCAAGTATTTCACCAGTATGGTGAGATAGGGCATTTTAAAGGCCGTGTGTCCCCAGATTGTTGAGGATTAGAAAGTGAGAGCACGAGCACAATTGGTGAGCATATCCTCTTGTCCTTCTGCGGTCTGTATCATGTACTGATTTGCTATTTAGATTGTTGCAGGAAGTTTTCCATGTGCTACCATTGCCTGTCATCCTCAGTCCCAGCTTCAACTCTGTGCTGTCTTATATTTCATCTCTGCATGTGGAACGGTCCTGTTTGCAAACCAGCGATCCTGCATCAGCTCATTCTTCTCATCTCATCATATTGAACTCATGCCGTTTCATCCCAATTATGCAGTTATCACAATGGCTAACATGCAATTTAGATACGTCAATATGCCGCCTGATATTGAAGTAAGTTATTTCAACTAATGGATCTTAGTATTAGTACTAAATAAATTAGGATCGTGCATGCTTCGAATGTGGACAGCAAAACCATATAAAAGCAGTCTGTCCGCAGATTCAAAATAGAATCATAGCTAGACAGGCTCGATTCGTAAGTATATCCCCTTATTCTTGAGTCTATAGAAAGTACTAGTCTGCTCTTTAGTTCGTCGCTGTGAGTGTGTTTAGCCTTGAGTTTCAACCAGTTTTAACCATAAAATAGGTCGAGAGAGAACTTTCCGCCGCCCTGGACCAGGACATCCGGAGGATGTTGATTGACATACGTCAGGAACAAATGACCTATTCGGGACTCAAAGCATAGAGTTCGGCAACAGGTTGACAGACCTCGGTGCGGTTGTGCAAGAGCGAGTGAATCCAGCTGAACCGGTTGGAAAGATATGATTTCAGAGTTTCGAACTGAACTCGATGAAATCGCTCATCGCCACCAGTGCTGAATAGGACTAACATAAGTGATGATAGCGAGCGAGATGAATTGAGTTCTTTTCATTCTCTGAGTTTCGATAATGTCCCCCTTCGGGGGTCAACTTTGTTTTCGTTTTTTCCCTCAAGAAAACGGGTGTCCTGGTTTTGCACTTTAGAAAATAACGATGACATGACCATGGCATTCTGGATCCCTTTGCATTGATGAAAATCTAGACTTGGGCTTGGGGGGCAGTAACGGCACAATGTGGCATTAGAGAGATCGAATCATTGATATCATGTGAGTCCAAGTTTGTTGGGTCTTTCAATTGCATGCTGCTCATATAGCCGGCTCACTAGCTAGACTTCCTGGAAAGGATACTGTCGCCCTCTATGCGGATCATGGATGGGGGAATTAATCTACTCGAAGCAAAGACAGCTTACGCGTTATTCAAATCACAATTATCCTTAATTACCATGGTCCAGATTATCCCAAACAGCTCGTAGGTAATCTGTCCAGAAGCAAGAGCAGCACGTTTGCAGTATAGCATTGAGAGATAATCTCGGCTCGGAGTGACAGCCACGCTGAACACAAATCGGAGACTCAATTGGTTGTGATCGTGCATGATATGAGCATCGCGAGTACGCCGGCTGTCCTCCAGATTCATAGTTTAGCATGCACTCGGGATCCACCACGTGGTAGTATAAGGAGCTTTGTGTATTACCAATGCACCTGGGTACCTGCAATGTGCGGGTTTAATGGGGACCTATCTACCCCGTGGGTTGTTTGTAAGTGGGGATTCCGGAAGTCAGATCGGTAGATCGGAGGAGTCTTTGCTTGGCTGTTCGCTGCCCTAATGCATCTTGCTGCCTCCTGCCATCTCGGATTCAATTGGTAGCTGGTGACGGCGACAGCTGACGATGCAACTCGGGTTTCACTTCGCCATGCGTGGTACTTCTTGTCTCACAGGCCCAGTTTAGTATATGCTGAAAAGAAATGGTAGAGAAGGGCTTTCTGCGCATAGCAAACGGATCTCTTATTCTTCGGTTGTCCCTATTTACCTCAAATACCTACTTTTACCCAGGATGAACTTGATAGTCAGACGGGTTTCGCCACAATTATGCTAGCAGAATAGCTGATTTCTAGAGGTTTACCAAGGTTACACAGTATGATTGTATCGGGCCGGGCCTTGAAAGTGCGGTCGAATTGGAAAACTCCCAGATGTATGGATCGCACGAGGGTGAGATTGAGGGTCGAGAATTGGCCCTGGTAACGATAATAGAGTAGACCGGTTCCCGAGCTAGACATGGGTTGAACCCTGAGCATTTGTCGAATCGGGTAAAGGCTGGCAGGGTGGCGTTACTTCGCATTATATATCTGGAAGAATTGTCCGGATCACACAACTGTCACATTCGTAGACAGTTTCGAAGCGGAGGAAATCTGTAGAGATCGGGTTTTGGTACTTAAGGGGAGGAATGTATGTTTTCAGTGTACACACAGCGCATGCCGCCGAGACAGCTTTTTTTTATGAAAGCATGGCTCTCGCAAAAGTCCCACGTCGTTACTGCCCACGCAGATGTCGATATTTGATAACTCTGATCGCTTCTTCATTAGCCGTCGTATGTTTATATTATCTCTTCTACTGCTTCAATGGTGATACAGAGATCGATGGGCCTGGTTTGGTTCGTTTTGATCATAATACGTCTGAGATGGCCAGGAATGGGAGCTTAAAGGTACTTCGTATCGCAATGCTCTAATATTTCCCCAAGGCTAACAGAAGGAAGTTCGAGCGTAACATCGTAATCCGTACACTTCGCAGTCCTGACGAACAGGAAGCAATCTCCCGGGGTTCGTTGCTGACAGGGTTTCATCTTCATTTCGAATCCACGAAGACACCAGCGAGAGAACGTGGCAAAGCCGAGAAATCCTTGAAAGTGAGGATACTTCACTGTCATCGGAATATCCCACTGACAGTGCCAGGGAAGCGAAGCAGAGAACGGGGCTTTCCACATGCACCTCAACGCTATGACCTCGCAAGCAGTCGTGACAAATATAGCATATATCTCTAGGTCGATCTTAGAGTGGTGGCAGAAAGCTTTGCAAGTGCACGACTTATGAAGGAAACCGTCGACTGGGATGTCGACCTCAAGATGCAACTAAAGGGGCTCGCATCGGGCATGAAATTGAGGCAGGGAAGCGACACATCCGCGGCATTGCCGTATGGGGATCGCTGGGACATTGTGGAATGAGATGTGCAGCCGGTTCCAGTTTCCTCCTGACGCCGCATGATATAACAGCAGTTCCAAGTCGACATCTGATGTCATACCACAGGGAACCCCCTGCAGACGTCAAGAATCAAATGCGCTTGGCCTGTCAGATTGAAGAGACCGTGGGTAGTGTACCGTACGCCGTCACAGACGAAGGGGCACAAAAGCTTCCCGCCGCTCACTTAGAGGTCGCTTCCAAGCAAGAGGAACGGTTTGATGTGGTGGCCAGTCGACTGTTCAGGTCGAAATCTTGAGATGCTTCTCCACTTGCCCTTTTATCATAGGTAGAAGAAGCGTCGACTGTGAAAAAGGACAGAAAGACTCGAACGCTGTTGATTTGAATGGAGACTGCCCATCTGGAGTTATGTTCAGTACTCTCAATAGTTTGGACAGCTTATCAAACGGCATATCAAAGGTGAAGTCTGCTTATCAAGAAGCGGTGATCGAAGAAACTGACTCGGCTCAATTCGAGGTGCCGCATGTGATGTTCAGATGGCGAGATGACCGAGGAGAACACGGAATAACTCTACGAGCTTGAGTGAGGGGGTTGATCACTCGGCCTATCTGAATGGTTTCAACAGGCCATTGTACGGAGGCTCGATTGTCAGGTCCGTATGGTCAAATTACGAGAAGGTATAAAACAAACGCAGATATCTCACACGCTCAATTTCTTCAGATGGAAAGCCTATCGCTGCAGTGCGACCCAGGCAAATAAATGATCTCATCCAAGGCCGAAGTGGATGCCAAGGAGACGTTACCCATCCGAGGAGTGCAAGGACCGAGCCGCCTGCGGTCGCGGCATCAGCCAAGCTCTGTTGTGTAGGTTATTTCCGAGAAAAGGAATGAGCAGCACCAGCTGATCTCGGTTCGGTTTTCTAGGCTGCTCAATGCGGGAGGATTAAAACCGCTGCTTTGGATGAGCAGTGATGTGTGGATTGGTACTTAGATTATATCACGTGCTTGGGTTACACTGCCAATCTCTCGAAAAATGTCAATATGGATAATTATCTCTGATAGTAAATAACATACTTAAATCCGACATGTTCGATAACTGACCAGAAGGCTGCATTGACCCACGGTATCATATACCGGTGTACATATTACACACTAACTAGACGTAATTTATGATTGTTGTGCTGACGACTTAGAAAGATCAGGTGCATTTCTCAGCCCCTCTTCCACCGACTGTCCCTGCTTTGATGCAAGATTGTCGCCACCGTGGACCACCCTCAAAGATTCCCTGGCAAGCAACGCACGGTAAGATCTAGACTTCGTGTGAGTCCGCCCCCGGCTTTAACTGCGACGCGGTCCAAAAATGTAATCATCTGATTTTCGCCCCCGGTGCCGATGAAGCGGAGAACCTCACGAGGCATGCCGCATTAAAATTTAAGCGCCGTTCTTGGAGGGTTCTTCTTGGACGATGGAACCGGGAAGTCAATAAACCGGATGGTGACAAATGCGCCCCGCAGTATCAATGCTATAATGTGCCGATTATAGGGATGATGGTCAGGTTACAGTTACACTCCCCTCATTTACTCAGTCAGCGCAGTGAGGGTTTGGTTGAGTGCGGTCCGAGTCCAGCTGGCAGCAAGTAAGCAAGCAGGGGAAAGGTTGGGGAAATGGCCAGGGCCCGGGGTAAATAAACCGGTAGTGCCACGTGAGGGGAAGGGAGGGTTTGGTTAACGGATGGCCACGCAAGCCGCGTGAAATCCGGAGAGACTGGGAACTCCCCACTCGGACTCCCCAGACAGCAACAACAAGGAGAAAGGAATAACTACGGAGTAAACTAGTGAAAAATGTGCAAACCTGGATGATCTAGTTTAGCCGCAGAGGCTAGGTCTAAAGTAGCCTAGAAGAAGAGTCAAAAGGTGCTGACAGAATTTGTTGTCAGCGCAATAATACTATTTGTGGTGCCGACTGCCGACTGCCGAACGAGAGCCCAGACTTAGGTTTAGCTTCTTGGCGGCCACTCCCCCATCCAAGCATTGGGCGTCAACTTGGCTCGCGCACATCGGAGCTTACATCTTTCTTCCCACTGGCACCACTGGCACCACTGCCATCACTGGCGCCATTGGCACCACCTGCCATGGCTTCTTGTCTCACACCCCCTGACCTTGGCTGCGCCACGAGTCGGTCATCTCGGTCATCTCGGCCATATCAGTCTTATTGGTCATCTTCACTTTTCGTTCGTCGCTAAACTCCCCATGGGGTTTAGTACTGAGCCTTTGTGCAGAGTTCTCGGACCTCCAGTAGCTAGCCTATCTTACCACTCACTCGAGAAATCTCTACTTCTCCCATCGCTAGTTTCTTCTGTTTTCGCCGCCCCGCTGAACCTGACCACCTCAGCGCCACTATCAGGCAGCCTAAACTAATTCGTAGTTACTCCCCGGGGTAGCGTAAACCCCCCCTCCCCGGGATTCATTCCAACCCACGGGGACAAGCCGAACTCTCGATGTGTCAGACCTAACCCGAATTCAGTTTTTTGTGGCTGATTTCTACGCCGGCGACTGGTGCGCTAGCTCACTAACCCGCTCCTTTCAAATGAGATGGGAGCACTCGGTACAGTGCCTGATCCGACAATTGCCCGGCCATTGTCCATGGGCCTTTGCGGCGTTGCGCATGTCATTAGTCACTGATGGATGGAGACTCGAGCCAACCGAATCTGGACTAAAGGGATCTTGAAGAGAAAAGCAGGGGAAATTTCTAGAGCGGGGGAGTCACATATAATGTCGCGCTTCGCCCCGTCTTTCCTCCCTCACTTCCCAGCAGCGTCCTGTTTGTTACCAGCAAAATGGTTGTCAGTCAGTCAGTGGTCGGGCGAGCCAATGCCGAAAAGCCTCATGGCTTGGTTGGTATGCTCAAGAATCCTTATGTCTTCATGACCTGTGCCTTTGCTTCGCTGGGCTGTATTATGGTACAGTACTACCCTCATCTTATACCGAGTGGCTTAAACTAATTCTCGATAGTATGGCTATGATCAAGGTGTCATGGCTCCTGTTCTCGTCATGGAGAACTTCAAAGCGCACTTTCCTTCGTTGATGGGCTCTACTATCCAAGGTTGGCTGGTGTCTGCTTTGGAGTTGGGTGCTTGGGCTGGTGCGCTCTTCAACGGATATCTCGCGGACGCTATTTCGCGGAAATATAGTATGATGGTAGCTGTTGTTGTCTTCACTCTGGGTTCATCTCTTCAGTCCGCAGCACAGAACCCAGCCTACTTTTTCGCTGGTCGCATCATCGGTGGTGTTGGTATTGGTATGCTTAGTCAGGTACGTTCTCGTTGCCAAAGATGCCTTGCAAAAAGGGCTAGTGGTCTAACAAGCATGTTTCTATAGGTCATCCCGCTGTACCAAGCCGAAATCGCACCACCGGAGCTCCGTGGCTCTCTGGTTTCCTTGCAGCAGCTCTCGATCACCATCGGCACTGCCATCTCTTTCTGGCTGGACTATGGTAGGATCCTTCTCCAACACGCTACTCAGCCATTGCCTAATTGACTGTGATAGGTATGCAATACGTTGGTGGTGTCAAATGCAACCCCGAAGGTGTGGAAAACCCTTACTTGGCCGACGGAACCTTCGACTACAACGCGGCCCACGGCCACACGTGTCTGGGCCAGAAGCCTCTTGCCTGGCGATTCCCCTTGGCTTTGCAGATCCTGTTCGCCTGGATTCTCTTCTTCGGAATGTTCTTCTTCCCCTTCTCCCCTCGCTGGCTGATGTCCAAGCACCGCGAGGAGGAAGCAGTTGCTGCACTCTCTAAGATCCGGCGTCTTTCACCCAACGATCCCTTGCTCAAGGCAGAGATCCTTGAAATCAAGGCGGCCGTTCTTTTTGACGAAGAAACCAATGCCGAAGCTGTTCGAACCGGCGGTAAATGGGCCCCCTGGAAGGCTCTCTTTTCCCCAAATATGCGAAAGCGACTCTGGCTCGGCTGTGGAATGATGGTTTTCCAGCAGTTTACCGGTAGGGTCCCGTCCTCTTGTGTTCAATGTTTAGCCCAGCCCGACTAATAATATCCTCAAGGTATCAACGCAATTTTGTATTATGGTATAGTACCACCCTGATCCCACACCGAATAGACTGAACTAACCCCCCAAAAAGCCCCGCAAATCTTCGCCAGCTTCGGTTTCTCGTCGACTACCCAGACATTACTTGCTACGGGTGTCACTGGTATCATCCAGATCCTTTTCACGCTCCCTGCTGTACTTTTCCTGGACAAGTTCGGCAGAAAGACCTTCCTCATTGTCGGTGCCATTGGCATGTTCTGCTGTCACATTGTCGTTGCTATCGTCGAGGGTATCTATGAGGATTACTGGAACCTGAACGAAGGGCTGTACAAGGCCCAAGGATGGGTCGCCATCGTCTTCATCTGGATCTTCGCCTCCCAATTCGCCTACTCCTGGGGTCCAGTATCATGGGTCCTTGCGCAGGAAATTTTTCCGTCCTCTGCCCGCTCTCGTGGTGTGTCTCTTGTCGCATCCACGAACTGGATGTTCAACTTCGTCATTGGCCTAACCACCAAGGACATGCTGGCTTCAATGAAGTACGGAACCTACATCTTCTTCGCCATTTTCAGTGGACTGGGAGGTCTGTTCATTTGGTACTTTGCACCTGAAACCAAAGATAAGACCCTGGAGGAGCTTGATGTCTTCTTTGGAGGCAGCATGGACAGCATCGCCGAGGCGGATAGACTCAGGATGCAGGCAATCTACGACCGCCTGGGACTCTCAGGGGTTGAGAAGGTGGAGGATCTAGATAACGAGAAGACTAAGATCCAGGATGAGATTGTGGAGATGTGATTCTTGGTTGCTATTATTGTGGATGGTGAGCAGACCTCACCATCCGGGGGGGGGGTGATGCATGGGGCGCGGAAAGGGGGAGGGATGGTGATAATTTTTTTTAATTTTCTTACGCACCAATTGACTGGCCTTACGCATGCGTACAGTACGCTATTTTACGAATATAACACCCTCGAACGTCTAGTAACTTAAGCGCTTCGTATTCGTCGATAGTGGTGATAGGGTCTGTCATATCGGCTCATGTGGTGCAGGTCTGGCGACAAGCTAGCCCTAATCCGCGGATTCAAGAACTTCATTTTTCACCCGATGTTTTGCCGCTGAGGAGTGAGGGTCATCATTCGGCCTGGAGGCCTGGAGACAAGGCCACCTGACTATCAGTAAGCCGAAGAACCTTATGCATCTGAGTCCCAACTGTCAGACGGGCAGCCGGATTGATTTTGATTGTTGGGCTCCGAAGCCGGCTAATGCATTACCCCGCCCACCCCCGTTGGCCGGTGCCGAAGCTCCCCAGCCTCGCGATCCCGCGTTTTCCCCGGACAATCTTCCTGAAAGTCTCGACCTAATCTCCTCGTTTCTGGGTGGTTCTCCGTTTTCTGAATACGCCGATAATCGCCAATAATCGCCGATAAAAAACCAATCCCGAGTATGGAGGCATGTGGGGCTGATATACGACGACCCTCGTCTCGGTCATCCGAATCAATCTTGATTTCCCACCCCCCGTCTCTGCCTTGCTATACAGAGTGACGAGTAATCCTGGTCAAATCCTTCGTCTTATGTACTGTACTTTCCTCCGTCATATACCCCGCGTTAGCAGACTTTTGTGCAACAGGACCCTCCCAACTTCCCAAGACCCCTTTTCTTTGTTCCCCTACAGGACCCGTCTACTTTCTTCGGCGTGAAGACTTCCTCTTTAGGGCACACACACACACACGGCCTCAGCTCTGCTGCCTTCTCGGCTCCTAGCGCCAGTAGCAGGTCCCCGATAGGTAGCGACGCTAGTGGACTATAATGGTCTAGTTGAATTTTTCATGGTGAACTCAGTTGAAGAGTTTCCGTTCCCTATTCTGTTGGGTAATAGTTCCGATGTGCCCTGCCAACTCGATTAAAGTACGGAGTATTCCCCGGAGAGTTTTCGTCGAGTTCCGACGTGGGAACGTGGGAGTGTGGAATGTGGGTTGATGCTACCCGTGTGGGTGGAGTCTAGACTTCTTCGATCATGTTTCTAGAAATTGTTTTCATGATTTTATCCCGGAGCGGAGAATTTCAGGTCGGTTCTCTCTTGTGCTCTGCGCGGGATTTCCGACTTGGTGCCCGGCCAAAGACTGTAGTCCACATAGCTCGCCATGTTCCTGACCTATCCTGTAATTTGGAGGCACCCGGCAAGTGAGACTTAGCTCTTTCGGACCCGTCCTCTCAAAGACGACGGTTGTTGCCGATTACCTAATTGCCGATGACTTGACGGATTGATGAATTCAATTTTCTCAAAAGTGTACACGTGATAGCATCTTCCCTCTACGAGGATTGATTCTGTGGACTGCCAGGCCTTGTTTTAGGTTTTTTTCGCATGGCATGATGTTTTCTTGAGGGGTTGGCGGCTCGGATTTACGGTCAACGTTTCCATCTTCCACTTCGCTCATACATACGTCAAGTCAGCGCTACCTGTAGCTGTCCATTATTCTCTGATAGACGTTTCATGCCTGTATACTACTACAGTAGACAAGTCTTGCTCTTTTATTATAATGTACAGGACATAACCTGGAGTTTGCTTCAGTTGCCAAGGCAGTCGACTAAGATTCCCGCTTTGGCCATTGATGATAGGGTGCCATTCCAACGATCAGCGCTCAGCGGGCGAAAGAGCCATTTAGGAATGGATCTTTGAGTATTCCCAGTATCACAGGTATTCTAATGATGCAAGCGGCCCCTATGGACCCCAGAAGAATTGGATGATCTTGTGCCTTTATGCCATTAGTAATGCAGCCAATGGTAGGCATTATAGCACGCTTGAGCCCTTATCAATCTTATCAATCAGTTCCACCCCCGTGGGGATTGACCGGTCCGTATCAAAGCATAATGGACGTGCGCTTAGGTATAGAGTTTCAGTGAATTTGCAGATCTCTGATTCTCCAGAACGGTACACAATAATCCACTTGTGGGGTTACGCTTTCTTTTTGACTTTGATTAGTTGTCTAAGGATATACGTGAGCCTCCGAATGCCTTCGTGGTATCGAATATAAGCTCTATAGTTCAGCGAATTGAGCCAGGCTCTAGTGATCAAGTCAATGACACATTCGAGCATCCGGTTAATCTTGGTGAGGGTATAGGCTGTTTATGTGACGACTCAGTAGACGGCTGCGGATCCCTGGACGCGCACCGGGACCGCCACTATTCCTCGGACGAGGTCCTCCGTGCGCAAACAGATACAACACGGGGGTTTCCTAGCACCTTCGAGCCGGTTAATCATCTGCCTCATTCGAAGGATACCCTAGCATGGAAAGAGTGCCAGGACCCTGAAGTTCTGTAAGTTCACTCCAACTTAACCGGCTGCGCCAGGCAGCCCAACCATCCCCTCTCCAGCACCCAGGAAACACAATCCTCGCCATTCTGCATGAATATTACCCAGGCAATGAAGAAGTGACGATTAACCATAATCTGGGGTGGATCTTCATTTAGGCAGATTGAGGGATCGACACTGCTTCCGTTTTAGGTTCGGCATATGTTCCGACCCGGCTAAAGATCCTGAAGTGCCGAAGCCAAGACGACTCCTTCGTTTCACATCCTGGTCTTCACAACCATCGCGGCTAAATCAACTCTATACAGACAGCTATAAAGGTGCGTCGAACTGATACTGTTAGAGACTGTCAACTACAAGACTCAGAATTCCACTTAGTATTCACTGACTTACCATGGCTCGCCTGTCTCAGTTCCTTCTCGCCTGCGCTCTTGCAGTCAAAGCCTTCGCTGCCCCAGCCGCCGAGGCTGAGCCGGTCGAAGAACGGGGCCCCAACTTCTTTTCTGCTCTTGCTGAGCGCTCGACTGGCAGTTCCACCGGCTACTCAAACGGCTATTACTATAGCTTCTGGACCGATGGCGCAAGCGGCGATGTCGAATACAGCAACGGCGCCGGGGGATCCTACAGCGTGACCTGGTCATCGGCCTCAAACTTCGTCGGTGGAAAGGGCTGGAACCCTGGAAGTGCTCAGTAAGTCATCGATCGCTGAGCAATTGCTTGACTATCTCTTCGTTTCTAGTTTCTCCTTATGAGCACATGGACTGACCAGCCTTCCAGTGACATTACATACTCCGGCTCCTGGACCAGCACAGGAAACAGCAACAGCTACCTCTCCGTCTACGGCTGGACCACCGGTCCTCTCGTCGAGTACTACATCCTGGAGGACTACGGGGAGTACAACCCCGGCTCAGCTGGCACTTACAAAGGCTCGGTCTACTCCGACGGATCGACGTACGATATCTACACGGCGACCCGCACCAACGCCCCCTCCATCCAGGGCACGGCCACTTTCACGCAGTATTGGTCCATTCGCCAGACAAAGCGCGTCGGCGGTACCGTGACGACTGCCAACCATTTCAATGCCTGGGCGAATCTGGGAATGAACCTGGGCACGCACAACTATCAGATCGTCGCTACTGAAGGCTACTACTCGTCTGGGTCTGCATCGATTACGGTTGCCTGAGAGCGTGCAGATATCCTGCTGCGATATGTGCTGTATCTCTGGCACCGTTTTTGTGATGGCAATGAGTGGATGAGGAAGTTGGCTTGTTCGTTCATGAGTAGGGTGGTATTTTAGGAATCTGGATGAGCTTTGACTTTTGATTCTATTTTCCTCATTCGATTTTAGCCTCTGTTTTCGTAACAAGTAGTTTTCATTTGTTTGAAATAATGCTGTAAGAATCACGAGCTGTGGCCTGTACGATAGAGAGATAAAAAGGGCGAACTTATACTGTCGGGTTGTGATCATCCCGAAGTTCTCTTGCCCGGGAGCTCGACCATTCCTCTCCAACTTCCCCCTACGACAACCACTTTTCATAACTTCCTTCTTGCGTCTCATCATCACATCGATTAGAAGTATCTGCTGGGAACTATAACACATTCTTCCCTCGCTTATTCAATCTGACTGAACGCTTTATATACGATAATCTACACCTGCCTTCCGTCAGAAAGAGATTCTTCTTTCTTAACTCTCTTCGGTGCACTTCATTGCCTTTTCATCAGGATTGTTACTCCGTCTTCCATATAATCGGTGGAACATTAGCTCTTCGTCTCGAAGCATTTGCTGTGTGAGATCACCTCGGAAATGATAGGCGGCATATACCCGTCTCATATCCCGTGGAGATCTGCTCCGAATGTCACACTGGGGCCCCAATCATACTGTTATCGTAATCGGGGAATGTTTCTTTGTTGGTCTTTTCCCAACACTGGCAAGGCAGTTCCCAGATTTATGACGAGCAGACGTTCCCCTCAACAGCTCCCGTTATTTAGTTACTCCCTCCTCGAACGACCATCTGATAAAAGCCAAGCTCCTTTCCGAATCTCGATCGGATAACGAAACCAGCGAAGGGAGTTCTTCAACACACCTTCTTTGACAATGCCTACTCCAAAGTCCGACCATGATCCTTCTCAGGAAGTCCCCCCTCCCGAGTCATTCGCTATAGCCAGTTCCGCCGGAGTGGAGAAAATGGAGATCCTTCAGGAAGGCCTGTCTAGAGATATCCGTGCTTTGTTCTTCGTCGACCTCTTCCTCGTCGCATACGTCTACGGCCTGGATGGCCTCGTACGGAGCACATACCAGGTTCTCTCGCTGTCTGATTCCTTCTGCATACCAGATACATGCTAATATTCAAGTGATGGTTCCATAGCCGTACGCTACCGCTTCTTACCAGACCCACAGTCTCCTTGTGACCGTCGATATACTACGGGCTATTGTTGCAGCAGCAATTCAGGTACACCATACGCTCTTTGCTCATGCCGTTTCACTAAGGCCACCTGTGGTAGCCCACCGCAGCCAAGATCGCAGATGTCATTGGGAGACCCGAATTGATTGTTGTGTCAATCTTCTTCTATACCATTGGTATGAAGGTGCTTTCTAGCGTCAGCTCACAGACACTAATGCGGTTCAAGGCACTGTGGTCGAGGCTTGTTCCAAAACAGTAGAACAGTTTGCTGCAGGTGCGGTGCTGTATCAGGTAAGATGAGCCTTTTGCTCCCATAATACTGATGATGAACTGGATTAGGTCGGCTTCACACTTATCGTACTGCTTGTCGAAATACTTGTGGCGGATCTCTCATCCCTGCGAAGCCGTTTGCTGTGCTCCTATATACCTGCGATTCCTTTCATTGTAAGCGTTCCTCGTTGGATTGCAAAAGACGTGTCGACTAAGCCAGATAACGCAGATCAACACATGGGTCGGTGGAGATGTTGCTGCAGCTGCTCTGCGTGCGACAAGTTGGCGGTGGGGTGTTGGCATGTTTGGAATTTTCTACCCAGGTAAAAATCAGCGTGACTGGAATACTTGAAAGTTACTGAAACATCATCAGCCTGCAATATTCCCCTACTGTCTACGCTATTCATCTCTCACTACGTAATGAAACGGAATGGAGACTACAACGGGGCTCAGAGAATCCATGGCGCCTGGCGCGCGACAAAGGGATTATTCTGGTACATGGATGTGATTAGTATGATACTGCTGATTGCATGTCTCTCCCTCATATCAGTTCCCTTCACCATTGCAGACAGCTTCAGCGGGCGTTGGAAACAGGCCAAAATGATTACACCTCCAGTATTTGGGATACTATGTCTACCAGTCTTCATTTACTGGGAGCGAAGATGCGCGCACCCCTTAGTGCCATTCAAATTACTAAGGGACCGAGCTGTCTGGGGAGCATTGGGAATTGCAGTGATGCTTAATACAGGTATGGTGATGGGGTCATATTTGATCAAAATATCTGCTTACGGTTTATTATAACTTGGGCTTTGCAGGCAAGTTATCTGTATACTGTGCTTGTTGTTGGCTTCGGTGAGAGCATCAGCAGTGCGACGAGGATACACTCGCTCTACAGGTACATATCCGGACCTCCACAATAACATGTGCTGACCATGACCAGCTTTGCCTCTGTCATCACTGGCTTCTTACTAGGCTTCGTTGTATACCGAGTCCGACGCCTCAAGCCGTTCATCGTTGCAGGTACCTTCTTGTTCATGGTTTCATTCGGCCTGTTGATTCACTATCGCGGGGGACATGCTTCATCAAGCCACTCGGGCATCGTAGGGGGACAAGTGCTTCTAGGCATAGGTAGGTCGTACCCATTAGTCTTTGCCGACGACGCCCGTAACTGATCAATTGTGCAGCTGGTGGACTCTTCCCATACTCCGCCCAAGCAAGCATCCAAGCAGCTCCCCTTCCCTCCTTTACGTGAACAAAGCATCTAACACAATCAGACCTCGCGGTCGTGACCGCACTCTTCATGACCTGCTACAACATCGGCAGCGCCCTCGGTGGCACCATCTCCGGGGCAATCTGGACGCAAGTTCTACCCAAGCAGCTGGAAACCCGGTTGAGCAACGCCACCCTGGCAGCCGAGGTATATGCAGATCCGTTCGCGCTCAGCCTGCAGCACCCCATGGGAACACCCGCCCGGGATGCAGTCGTCGATGCCTACAGGGACGCGCAGAAGCTGCTGTGTATCACCGGCATATGTCTCACCGTGCCGCTGATCGCGTTCGCTCTCTGCACCCGGAACACGAGGCTCATCAGGGAGCAGAGTCTGGTCAATGCTGAGGAGGATTTGGAGTAGTGCTGTGTGTTGCAGAGAGCGGAGCCTGGACATTAAAGATTTCGTTGCTCCGGATATGCAGGGAGGTATCTTACTGCATTGGTATGGTCACGGTATCACTGTTCGTTGAGGTTTATTCTGAGATAAAATACAACAGGTCGGCGTTTGCCAGGGTCCTGGTATGTAACCGAGCCGTAGATTTTAAGAAAAAAAGAAACGTAGGCAAGTAAACACAGTAGGATTTGACGGTATGCTTGTTGAGTACGGCGTAGTCCTGCGGGGGTTGTCGAGACAAAAAGTTAGTGCATCATCCGTGAATCGAACACGGGCCTCATCGATGGCAACGATGAATTCTACCACTAGACCAATGATGCCATTGATGCTTAAGCATGCTAAAGCAATAATAAAGGACTGGCTCTACTCGCGATAGTACCTTGAACCGTTGTATAGATGGGACTTGGCTCTGTGCATTCAGCGAGCATAATTGTAGATCATTGCCTTCTTAGTCCTTCAATTGCCAATACTCAAATTACCCTGTAAACTATCACCGTGACCGGTCTCCAATTGAGTTTGAGATGGTAAAACATAGTAAGGCGCATTAGCTTAGCACAACAATAAGAAAGAGCAGAAGAAAAGCAACTGCACAGACTAATTGTTAGCATTGCGGGAGCGACAAGGAAAAGAAGAAGACGAAAAAGACGAAAAAGAAGAAGACGAAGACGAAAAAGACGAAGCAGAGGAAGACGACGAAGAGGAAGAAGACGAAGAAGAAGCAGAGGAAGCAGAGGAAGACGAAAAAGACGAAGAAGACGAAGAGGAAGAAGACGAAGAAGAAGACGAAGAGGTAGAGATACAGAGCAATCGCTCGCTACTCACCACTTGCAAGCATCCACCGCAACATATCCTTGGTGGCCCCCACACAAACTACTGCGCTCTTATCGCCCATTTGAACTCCCATTTGGACTCCCAGTTTTTCCTTGTCTCATGTCCACTCCACAGACAAAGTCATTCTTCGCTATTTGATGCATGAGAGGAACTACGGGATGACCATATCGATATTTGTTATTGCCTTGTCTACACTACCCCCTCCTCCCTCTCACACTTGAATGTAAACTTTTTGATATATTCTCTCCTCCTAACTTGTCTCCAACCACCACAATTTCTTTATCTAACCCTTCCATGCACCGAGGTTTATCACATTCTATTGCCCTTCATCCCCAATATACCCTTTCATGTTCCCGACGTCCTCTCCTTCATATTTTCCGCTTCTCGTGTTGTTTGTTGAAATCATTTACCCAGAAGTTTCTGATCTCTGTTGGTGAGCAAACTTTGATCAAGGTCTCCTATAACTGCTCTCTACGCCCCTAGACTCTCTGTGCCATCATTCTTCTATTATATCATTCTCTTTACCCATTATCCCCCACATCCCCAACCTATTCTCTGCCTATACTTCTTGTGTCGGGTGCGTTAAAGTACGTTAACCCGACGTTCTTATCCTCTATCCTAGTGATCAGGCTTTGGTCGACGGTTCCAGAACTTGCCCTATAGGCCTCCAGGTTCTCTTTATTGTGCTCGGGAAGCTTTTCCTATGCGAAAGTCCATAGAATTGCCCCTGGCCTGCATGCCGAGGTCAGACATCATTGCCACAACCTGCACTAGAAGCACGAAGCTCTACACAAAACTGCTTCAGAATACAGCTTCAAACCTCTACCGCTCTCAGATGGCATTGGCAGGTGTCCACATGGCCCGGTTCATCATGAAAAGAAAAGTGCAAAGGTACGTGGCCTTCGAGCACGGAGTCAGTACCATGCCTCGTCATTTACGTGTACTAATCTGGGTTTCACTTCAGTATATTCTACCCTTCTACTTCGCACGATCATTCTCTACGACTAACAATGTTATATCCCTAGATATACATTCGCAAAGAGGCTACAATAAAGCTTGGAGCCAACGGCTCAGCAACCACAAAAGCGATTCAATGAGCATGCAGAACAATATCGCACCATATACCATGCCATTACGAATCCAGGAAAATTACTATGTCTACGGAGTGTAACTCCCGCATAGTCGATAATACAAACCATCTATTCGGTCGCCTGAAGTTTTGGACCAACAGTTCTCAAATTGATCATTCTGCCTTTCTCACGTACTTCCTATGCCAATTGTCAATCTTCGCTCAACGGTAAGTTCTAGCGGCGGATGAATTCCGCTTGATCTAGCAGATATACTGATGTTTGGTTAGATTCAAAGTTACTCCGTCCAGCTCTGTGTTCTGGTTTCTCCATGCTCGTCTGATGCTCTTTCGCCCTGCTGCTCTGTCAACCTCGTCGTTATATGCCTGCCATCGCATCTACCTGTGATCGTTACATGCTGTCTCTGTTACCGGGTGTCCCTCAATGGTGGGTGTGGGCTGATTGCGATCTTCCTCTATGACAACGAATCCGACATCTCTTCAGGTACAAAAGTAGCTCTTCATATGTTTCATAATCTCTGAAACGACCACCGTGACAACAACATATATTGCTCGTCTATCCTTTCATTCCTTCTTTCACTCCATTTCCCTCCTCTTCGCGGTCATACATTCGATCAAGGCGAGGAAAAGCTTCGCAAGATGAACCATCAGCGCAAGGTATTGCATAAGAAGATGAAGTTGTACCGCGTGCCCCTTCAACAGCTCAAGATTAACTACACAGTATTGAATACCAATAAGAAAGTCTATACAAAAAAAGAGATTCGATTCTTGTTGGTCATGCTGGACAAGTATAGAATCGATAACGAAGATCTTTATAAGAAGAGCTACAACAAGATTCGCGAGTTTTTTCTCTTCTGCTTCGACTGGTTCTTTCTCAGCCGGACACCTGTCGAAATCGGGCGTCGGTGCACCACACTATTGAATACTGTTGCTAAGAAGTTCGAAACCACTGAAGACGGAAAGGCAATTAGAAGAGATGACAAAGATCGCGGACGTGATCAGGACAGAAAAAGAACTAAAAAAAACTTCTGCAAAGAGAAAAACCAATAATAATACAGTTGTAAGTTATCAGCTTTTATTAATAGCTTCTGCATAGTTCTTACTGACGCCCTTCGTAGAACAAGCAGGTAAAGGCTGTAAAAATAACAGCAAGGCCCGGGGTATAGTGTAGAGGTTTTGTGGCTGCGATGTGTTTCTTTCGACCACTGATAATTTCGTCTATGAGCTGGGCAAGCCTTTTCTCCGAATTTGCTCCCACATTGTATTCAAAATAATGACAATATTGCTTTTAAAAGACTGAGCCTTTTTACTCAGCTGCTTTGCCGCGTTTATTTTTTCTCCCCTTCTTCGGATTGTCTTTCTTAACCTCCGTCAAACGGCAGATTAGTATAATGCAGACCTGAGAAGGATTAGAGAATATATATACCAATTGATCTTGTGTTTGTGTTCTTATTCTTTGACCTTCTATGGTCTGAGGATAATCGGCCCTTAGATAACCGACTTTACCGTATTCATAGCATTCGCGAGTCTAGTCTAGTTAGCACCGAAACGCAATATAGGAATCTCAGTACTTGTTCAGCGACCGTCAAGGTAGTCAGGTCCTCCGAGAGAAGCGAGCACAAAATATCGACGGATTTGAAAGAAGAGATGGGACTGTTAACCTGAGACACATACCAGCAGATGCAGGCCAACCAGCCGCGACTTCGGGCTAGTCATCAGGTGTTCGTAACTCCATCGTTTGTTCGAGACTGCCCGCCTCGGTTTCCGCTTCGGTCTGACGTTTGTCGATGACATCGCACAGCTGCTGCTATTATTAGGTTTGACCGTATGATTCTGAAAGTCCACTAGGGTGGCAGGTGTTGTGGGAGACGAACCGGCTGGGCCTTATATGGATATTCGTGGGACACGGTCTTGTTGGGGCCTGAGATCTAGGAGAGACTGATCTCCAGGATGAGGATGGAAAGATTCAGAAGGCATACAGTCTTCCCAGCAAGAATTCCATTCATGGGAGTGTAAAGAGAAGAGGAAGGTGCGGGCCTTCGCTCTGAACTATACGCCACGGAGGCCTTAGGCATCAGTGGGTGAAGACCCTGCGGGCTAAGGAGCCCGTCAGAAGAGTTATTAGGTGGTCTAGAAGCGTGTTATAATTCTTCCTGTTCATGTGGTGTATCTGCTCTTCACGCTTGCTATGGTAAGAACTCAGAGGAATGCATTGATACAGTGAGTGTGCTCGAATGCTTTTCCCGTAATAGAGCCTTGGGGAAACTGACACTCGATGGGCATGTAACATGATCTCCAAGTTGAGAGCCTTGTATACCATTTGGGCTATTCTTTCTGTGAGTTGTAAAGATACTTGGTCTATATGCAAAGATAGTTATATCAATTATTAAAACCACTCATCGAACTGACTTCATTAGATCCCTGCTTGTACAGGGTTCTACCCATGTCTAGCTTAGAACCGGTCTGCTATAGCGTCACCAGGGCCAAATCTCGACCGCCAATCTCACTCTCGTGCGATACCTGCATCTGGGAGTTCCCATCCAACCGCATTGTCGAGACCCGACCCAATAAATCGATTTGAGCCCACGTCGCACCGTTCACACGAGGCTAGACGTCTATCTTTTGTCATTCGGCGTCGATATACTAGAAGCAGGGTCATATGGCGGCGGAGAGCCCTGCGCGCAAGAACTCTGTGCTTCTTCCTCCAACGTCGCTTCAACTTGGGCCACCACGTCAAATGGCATATCGGTGAGATTGAATTCAACTGACTTTCCAGCGCACTCAAACACAAAGGAAGCGCAAAGTCTGTAGGATCTACTGAGATTGAATGTGCTGAAGGATATGTCCGACCGGCCAAGCATCAGTGATCCGAAAGCTTGGGACAAATCTAGAGTTTCCATAACAGGCATCGTAATATGACTTTGACTTAGCAAGTCGATCTTTTCGTCCACCTGTCCTGACAATGCACCTATCAGAGAAGGTACAGCCCGAGCGGCAGTTTGACTGACAACCCACAATGACACAGATCGCAATACAATGTCCGGAGGCT